GAAAGACCTCGTCAACCGCAAGGAGCCCAAACTTCTTACCAAACCACTTGAGGGTGTCCCACACCTGTTGAAGTTTGTGAGGAGACACCTCCTGATCACGGAGAGTGTTGAGGAGGGCACGAACGTCGTGTTCCTTCCATGGTATGGCCTTGAAGCCAAGGCGCCTGAGCTCTTCATAGGAAAGGCATCTCATTCTGAGGGTGCGGAACCTAGCATCACCCAGGAGATCCATGAACTCCCCTTTGAGCTCGAGAGAGATGAGAGTGGTGCCTGAGGGCATAATAGCTGCCATGTGTGGGATTTGTCCAGCAGCCGGGAGGAGATAAGAGAGGAGCCTTTCCCCCCATTTCTCCCGAAGGCCACGCTCCAGGGCCCTCTGGTTGGTAGAATGGTGCTCGGAGACATTCCCCGGTTTCCAGTGGCGCCACCGGCTCACCGTGCAGGGGGCCAGCAAGATCCCTTCTCGTAGTACGCGCCACTCACAGCGGTCTAGTTCCGCCCTTCGTTGGATCACCTCTGAAAACATGTGAGAGGGAGTGCCTGCAGCGACCTTAGTGCAAAGGTCCCAGAGAGAGGTGAGGATCCCCTGAGCATCGGCCATGAAATCCACAATTTCTTGATCCCAGGGACGTGTCACATCAACTTGTTCCTCCTCGAAGGAGCGACCCGACCCCCTGATGATCGGGTCTAGTAACACTCCTGCAAGAATCTCGCCATCCGACTGAAGAGGGCCAATGCCTTGCTCAAAGAGAGCAGAGATGAGAGGGTCAGGGGCCCTGACAAGGGCCCTCCCAAAGGGAGATGGACAACAAAATACAAAGGTAGACATCCTGAGCCACGGCGACTACGGGAGAAGGAGAGGAAGGGAAGAGGGAGAGAGAGAGAGAGAGAGAGAGAGAGAGAGAGAGAGAGAGAGAGAGAGAGAGAGAGAGAGAGAGAGAGAGAGAGAGAGAGAGAGAAGAAAAACCAATGCAGTCCAAGGGCACTTGTTTTCGCACGGGGCGATGGTCTGTAGGCCGACGGTCTGGCAAGTAGTCGTTCCCTTGTCGGGGAAAGGGGGGGACCATCAGGGCCAAAGGCGCCTGGAGGTCCCACCCCCCCCTTGAGGGCATTCCTGTTGCCGAAGAAAAGGCCTGTGACATGGCCCAAGTCCTGAGTAGTGTAGGTACTTGCACTTAAGACAGTTCCCCCTCAGGGTCCAAGGCACATGACCTCAAGAAAAGCTACAGCAGCCAGAAGGGAGAGGAGACCCCCTTCAGGGCCATAGGCACCTGGCAGGGGTTCCCCCTCCACATGCCTTGTTCAAAAAGAAAACAGGGCTCAGGCCGGGCGGACTCGGGATGCCGCAAGCTCGTGGATCTTCTTGAGGCCATCCCGCTCCGGGTTGGAGAGCACCACCGACCAGATCATGTCGGGTCCTTGACCCAGGACTCGTAGAGGTTCTGGGGGGGCTCGTCCAGGATGAGCTGGAGCTGGGCCGACTTCCCTTTGTGTTCCCCCGTGATGAGAAGGAAACGGCTGGCCCCTCTGCCACTTCGCCAGAACCCTTTGCAGCGGCGGCAAACGTAGCCCCCACGAGTCTCACCCTTCTTCTTGTCAACGATCTCCCACGGGGAAACGGAGCTGAGGACCAGGCCACACTCCATCTTGGCCCAGAAGACGTGGGCTGCCTTATCCCCCGTGTTCTTCTTCTTGTAGTCGTCCGAGGCCACGCTCGTGACATTGTCCGGGGTGATGGGCGGGAGAGCGCGCTCCTGCTCCGACGCCGGGTCCAGGGGGATCCTTTCAGCGCCAAAGGCAGCTGAGGAGTCCCTTTCCCCCAAGCCGAGGCCTTTGATGTGGCTCTCCGAGTAGCCAAGCTTACGGTAGATGGGGCCGGCGTACTCTGGCTTGAGGCGGGCTGTCCACCACTGCACGGTGTTGCAGCGCCAAGCCATCTTGACCTCCACCACCGACTCTTGACCCAGCGAGTTGGAGAGCATGTTGTAGATCTCCGGGAAGTGGCGGAAGGCCTTCAAAGGAAGGGTGATCCTTTCGTCACATACGGCTCTCAGTCGCATGTGCTGCTTGGAGTCATGGATGTCAGCAACAGGGAGATCCAAGACCACCTGAGGCGTACGGTTGATGAAGACCTTGGCAGCGAAAAATGATCCGATCTCGCGGTAGAGCTGCTTCCACTCCTGGTTGGTCGTAGGCACCGGGAGGTCGTGCAGAATCACAAACTCTTTGGCCTCCTTCATCAAATCCCGGTGGTCCTCTCGTCGCTGCAGGTTCTGCTGCTTGTTCTTGGCCCCTCTCTTGTGGGACCTGACGGTGATCGGCAGGTGGCTCCACACCGCGTAGAGGTGCCTGGCAGAGTAGGTGTGGCCGAAGCAGGAGAAGAGGCTAACCAAGTCCCACGTCTGCACTTCCTTTCTCCAGTGGGTGTTCCCGTCCCCCTCGGCATGGAACGGGCCGATGATCTTATCCAGGGGGGGCCTCGTGCCCATTGCAACCTGTGCCTCAATCTCCTCCATGGTGAGGGCAATCGGCTCGAAGAAGGGCTGCCTAAAGGAGCTGGGGTGTGTTCTCATCTCCAGCATGATCTTCTCCCCTTCGGGCAGGGGCTTTGCCCACGTAGGGGGCTCAAGGGGCCCCGGGTGCTGCTTCCATCTGCCCCCGATCATGCGCTGCTCCCCCATGTGCAGCTCAATGATACGTTTGAGGCGAAGCATCTGGAACTCGACCGAGCCCACCGGAACACCCAGAACTGCCTCCGGGGACTGCTCCTCAGGGCCAAAGGCACCTGTGGAAGACAGCCCCTCGCCGGAGTCCCGGGCGACGCGCTCACCCTCACGCTGCAGGGCGGCCAAAGTGGGAAGCTCTTGCAGAAGAGAGGCAGGGAACGGGTTCCTGCTCTGGTTCAGCAGGAACTTCGTGTTCAAGTACCTTTCCTTAAGGGCCTCGATGTCGTCAAGCTCCATATCCTTGAGTGGGCACTCCGGGTTGAACACGTTCATCTCCAGGGCCGCGCGCAGCTGGGTGCCCCAGGCATCAATGGAGTCCGCCACCGGCCGAAGGAGCTGGGAGCGCTGGGATCCCTCCTCCTGCATGCGCTTGTTCGAGGCCTTGGCCTCTTCCAGGCTAGTCTGTGCAGCGAAAAACTCGTCACCCTGGTTCCCAGGGCCCTGCAGGTAATTTCGCTTAAGGAGAGAACGAAGCTTCTCTGTATCCAGCTGCCGGAGGATTGACGCACCCTTTGCCTCCTCGACACTCTGTGCACCCGCCTGCATCTCCACGATCACATCCAGCTGGGGGTTGATGTGATCCAAGAACTCCTCTTCCGTGGGCTTCTTTGGCTGTTTGTCCACCGGGCCCGAGCTCTTCTTGGTGATGTCCATCGCCGCCGCCAGCTGGGGATGGAAAGCCCTGGTCTCCTGGCTTGGTTGCCAATCACCTCGGAGGTGGGGTCTGTCCCCTGCCTCCTTGTCAGCAAACTGCACCTCGTCGAAGGGCTGTGTTGCCACCGTGTGAGCCAAGCTAAGCCTCAGGGCCATAGGCACCTGGTCGGCAAAGCTCAGCTCCTTCTGATCCGTCTGCATCCGTGTGCCACGTGACACCCTTGGGGCCACAAAACATTCGCCAGGAGGACTGGCCTAGCTTGATCTCTGCCGAAGGCGGGCCCTTGTCCACGGCGATGACCGACTTCTGGCAGAGCTTACACTTCCCCTCCACCTTGTTGTCCTGCCGCTGCCAGTCGGAGAAGCAGTTCGGGCACATGAGGGTAGCCCCCGTGCTGCCCGGGTCAAGTTGGCCCATGCTGCTGTGCCCCACTCCTCTGCGAGCACGGTTGTAGGGGGCTGCCAGCATCTTCTCCTGTGCCAGCTGTCGTTTGTAGATCTGGTACACCTCAAGGACTCGTTCCACAGCCGGGCGGCTCCACTGCTCCGCCTTGAGCTCGGAGAACAAGGAGGCGATCTCCTCCTTTGTCAATTGCTGGGCCCAGTCTGCACTCTTCTTGCCGATGCCGGGGAAGTTGTCCGGGAAGCCCTCGATTTTGAAGACCTTCTCCTCCAGGGAGCCGGCGGGCAGGGCCGAGTAGGGCCGGGGCCTGGTGGTATCATCCTTGGCCACCGTGTCGCCGCCCTCAGGGACAAAGTCACCTGTGGTTAGCACCTCGGGCCTATCCATGGGGTCGTCCACCGCAGCACCTTCAGGGACAAAGTCACCTGTGGTTGGCACCGCCGGCTTGTCCATGGGGTCATCAGTAGCAGCACCCTCAGGGACAAAGTCACCTGTGGTGGGCACCTCCGATCCCGTGGTGTCCATGGTGGTGTCCTCAGTGACCGCCACCATCTCGCTGCCCTTGGCCAAAAGCCTTTTCATGGCAGCTTCCATTTCCTGGAGTCGCAAGTCCATGCTGGTGTCATCCACCTCCAAAGTCGTGAAGGAAGCCAATGCCGAATTGGCCGATTCATCCTCGTGGGCATGGACATTGTGGGCCAAGGTAGCACGGGCCAAAGCAACTTCGTCGTCCGGCTTCTCCCATTCCTGATCACTGTCCCCTGTGTCGCGAGGGGGGATCAAACTCTCAACCGTCTCCATGCTGGAGGCCAAGACGTCATCGACATTAGCAACGGGGGTGAGTGCCATGGTCGAAAGTCGCAAGGGAGAAAGCGGGAGCGGTTTCAAATTTTGAAGGACCCACGGTCCACGATCTTGGGCCAAAATGGCAGAGCCATTTTGGCAGACGTCTCCTGACATAAGTCTTGCAAGTCGGCAAGCTTTGTTGCAAGTAACTATAAGGCGTCGGTACTGTGTCGGGCTACGCTACACCGTAAAGCCCTGCTTCTCGCCCCATAAAGTTTGAAATCATTACAAGCCATGGAAACCTCAAGCCTCTATCGATGACCCACACCTAGCATTACCCGGTACACCTACCAAAGTCTCCCTCGCACGACTCGACGACCCATGCAAGCAAACATATTGAGACACCAGAATGCAGAATCACAGAGAGAACCTCAAGTTCTACTTTCGGGCAAGGCTGAGTTGTAAAGTCGCATGGAGAAACAATGCCCAAACTTTACTTTAGCTACTGTAGTTTGTATACCAGCGCCTTGCTCAAAGTCCTGGAGCTTTCTCCGCAGCACCTGAGCTTGCCGAGACGAATGGAAACCTTGGTGATGGTGGTACCAGATTTTTCCTCACCTCCAGTTTCGGCATGTCTCCGGTGCTCAAGCTGTGGACCCGCTGTGCCTTAGAAAGGAAAGCTGCTTCGGAGGGGAGTCGTCATGTTGGCAGCCCAGCCTCACTCAGCAGAGACTCCAGGTTCGAGCCTCGCATCTCTGCTGCGGTGAGGAGCTGTGACTGAGCTCTAAAATTGCACAGCGTGGCATTGCGCGGTTTCTTTCGGCGCCCTGCAGAGCCAGTGCCGGATCGGCCCGTCGGCCCCCAGCCTCGGAGCCCCGCTTAAGCGGAGGCGTATACACTTCTTTTGATGACAGAGTAGGCACCCAGCGCACGGAGGTGAAGAGGAATCCTGGACGGAGAAAGGCTTCGGCTGAAAGCATCTGTGCGATGTCAAGGGCCCGCAGCACTTTAGGTGACGCGTGCCACGAAAACTCACCGAGGCTCTCTCTCCCTCTCTCAGGCCCGTGGTGGGCATACACTTCAAATTCCATTCTCAAAGACATGTCCTTGATCGCAGATAACCGACAACGATGACGTGAGTTCTAACTCTGCGCACCTTCTCAAGCCCCACATGGGCAGGCATCTCACACGCATTCGCGCTGGTGAGGGTGCGGCACGGGCGGTCAGGTTGTTGATTTTCCGCAACAGCGCTGTATGCGGAAGCGATTGCAGCTCCTGCGCATGCCAGCTGGCAGACGGGCCACGGCTCCGACGATACGATGCAACCGGCCTTCACCACAGCAGCCTTGTCTTCCTCGAAGAGGGTCAAGTGATCCTTGCTTAAGGTGGTGCTGTGCTTCATCCCCAATTTGTCGAACTCAATGCGCCTGGAAACGGTACGGCTCGTTCCAGAAGGAACTGACAAAGACACGCGCGACTTCGGGTGTCTGAAACACCTGGCTCCACAGAGGCTGACCGCTGGAGTCTGATGGAAAACTGCAGAAAGTTTCCTACACATTGTGCATTTGTACAGCATTGCATGTGACCTCGCACCTTCCCAACATTCCACAGGAGGGCCCCGTAGACCCTGACCAGATTGGATGCATCGATCTGGTCCGCCTGGCGGCCACGACTTCCCTTAGCCCGGTGCTTTTCAAGTACCTGTGTCGGAGTCAGAGTCACACCTTGTTGAGCACACATCGCACCTTGCCGGCATGGGGCCGCAAGACCTCGGAGAGCCGCCAAAGGGCGCCAGGCACCATTCCAAAGCCGTTTGTGTCAGCTCATGTCAGCTCTGGCTCTGGGCCTCCATGACTTGCTGAAACTCGTCGGAGATGTCCAGCTTGTGGGCGTCGAACCTCGGCTGCAACCGGCAGTCGGGCGCAGAGGCGAGGCGGGAGGCTCGGGCCCGGGCGTGAGGAGCACCAGGTCGGCTCGATCTGCCATCCAGGCGCTGATCTTCCTGGCATCTAAGAATCTAAGCGCTTTCTCTTCACAAGAGGGATCCCACTTTGCTGGGCCCCCTGGCGCAAAGTCGTAGTCTCGACCGATGCGCTGCTTGCTGCCGGAGAGAACTCCAGGAGTGTCAATGAAGGTGATGTCCTGCACCGAGCTAGCATTGCTGCATTTGTTGCACATGCCTCCATTGAAGGTGAAGTCGGTCCCGAAGGATCTCTGATGGGAGCACGAGGGCCTCCCGGCAGTGTCCATGCATTGTGCGCAAAGCGCAAACACACACAGAGCCCAGAGCTTGCAGCTTGCAGCTTGGCCTGGAAGCTACCCAGGAAGTCCGTGCCGAATTTGGACAGGCCCTTGGCTCATCCGCAAACCCTAAACTCCTCACAGAAACCTCGAGGAGCACCTGGTAAGGCAACTGGGGAAGGCAGGCAGCAGCGTTGCCGTGGATGATACCTGATCATGAGTAATTAAGAGCAGCGTCGGTGCCCGCTACTGTAGCGTCATTTCGGAGCCTTCCTCATCGCCGTGGACCACTGCCATGAACCTCGGGCTTCGCAGAGCTCTCATCAGACCCTCGGGCGGTCGCGGCCGATGAGGCGCGGACTTATCGGTGCTGGGCTGCGGCCGCACGTCAAAGTAGTTGCTTTCGGACTCTGTCAGCCACTTCACCTCGGAGGCTGGGCTTAGAGTCGGAGCTTCGCTGGCCTACGGCAGGCGACAGAGACAGGCACTCCGGACAAGTCCCGCACATCCTAGCGGCTCGCACGATAAGGCCTTCGCCATGGATGTTTTGCCGGTGCTGTACTGGCCAAGAAGCAGCACCTCCAAGAACCGGCGACAGCACAGTGAGAAAGAAAAAGTGCTTTCTTTCCGGCTCCGACCTGAGGCCGTGCTTCGAACTCTTCCAGCGAGATGGGTGGGGCACAAAAGTGCTCGTAAAAAGACCTTGGGTCTCTCCATGCCACGCTGACTCTGGTAAAGTCCGGAGTTGCTTTTTGCAGTCAGGTGCAGGCTTTTGCTCCAGCGGAAGTACAGTCTCGGCGTAGATTTGCCATAGCTTGCGTAGCACACCGAGCCTGGCTCGCACTACAGTATGCTTTAGCATCATGGTTGCCTTGGCTGCATGAAAAGAGGTCGTCTTCCACACGCCAGTTTCACAAACTCCGGCAAGCGACATGCAGTCAAGCCGACCATCCCCCTTGTGAACACTTCCCCTGTCCAAACTCGCCGTGCCAGGCTCGTTGCTCCGATCTCGTCGGCTCCGGGACTGGCAGGGGCCCAAGATCTCCCGAAAAATCTCTCCGATCTCTTTGTGTGCCCACTGTCAATCGGCATTAGCACGCCTAACCACACGAATCCAATCCGCCTGCTCGTCCTCAGCCATTTCAGGTTGCCATGCTGCGCCGCTAGGCTCTAGGAGGCGTGCATCTGTCTACTCGCCATCCGAGCAGAAGGAGTCGGAAATCTTGTCGTCAGAATTGGGAGTCGGTACTGCGTCGTTCAGCACTTCATCTTCATGGCGTGATCCAATTGCGCAATGAAAGTATGTGTCTTCGACTTGGGTGGTTTGGGTCACGAAGTGCATACTACGCATAATACGTGCACTCATCCCCTAAAAGCCGGCGGCATTCCCGGCAAGACCTCGCAGCCACTCTTAATTTGCATCGCACCACATTCCCGTGCCGCTGCCGTTGAATGCTTTTTGCCACGTTTGCCTCTCACGGTCGCCTTGAACGCCGGAGACGGCAGAGCGAGGCCTGCAGAAGGCAGGTCAGAAGGCTGGGGACTGGGGATTGAGGAGGGGCTGCCTTTGCAAAGCTCCGCTTCGGACGGATGGACGGACCTCGTCAGCTGGCCAGGGCCGCCCGGGCCAGGGCCAGTCTTCTCACGAGCGGGAACTCCCCGAGTTCGCGTTGCAGGATGGGACGCTGTCCTCCAAGCTCAGCATCTAAAAAGCTCTTGAAAGCTCTTCAAGTTGCAGAAGCTCCCCACACACACACACAAACAAACAAACAAACACCTCAAACTTTCTCCTGGCACAAACTCAAGTTAAAACCAACCCACGCTCTGCGCAGGCTCCGCATTTTCGGATGTGCGGATGCTGTACAAACATGCCCTGCGACGTACCACCAAAGGTCACTTTTGACGACATCCGACTGTTGACACCGGGATATTGCCAACACAGGAACCACGACGCCTTGTCCGAAGATGTTGAAAAGGTTTCAGGATTGTAGCCGGCTGCAAGACCAGAAGCAAAGATGCCCAATTTAGCGGCATTTGGCAGTCAGGCCGTGCTGGCGGGGCCGTTAGAGCCCCAAGCCCAACCGTAGCCAATCAATGTTCAATGCCAACAACATATGAGTGCATGTGCATGGATGCTAGGCGCATCTGTCAAATCTGTCTGTCAATCTGCCTGCCGAACCACGCACGCACACGCACAGTTCGCAAAGCACCCGACAGAAGGCACGGTGCTCTCTCAAACACTTGCTTGCTCTCTCGCAAAGCAAGTCATGAGGCTGCACATGGGTTCCACCCAAGACAGCCAAACAGTTGCAACTGGAGCTGCTGTTGTTTCCTAAAAGTTTCGGGGAAAAGGGAAATGTTCTGATATGTTGCAATAGAGCACGGTAGTGCTCTTAGTCAAAACAACCGAGGCATAGCCAGCAGAGGCCACACCACGCGGCAGGTCAACACCTTCACGGGCAGCCTTTGCAGAGACTATTCTGGGGGGCTCCACCCACCACGGCGAAAGACTGCAACTTCGGCTGTGGTTTCTCACAATTCTCACAGCCAAAACGACCCAATGGTGGGACTAGTGGGCTCGCTCGCGTCCGATGCGTAACCAGTGGATGCCACACTGTCGGCACCAAGATCCCACTCCTTGTTGGCCGGGACCTTCGCATCCAGCTGAAGGGGTAGCTCTTGAAGCAGACAGTCGTGGCTGTGGCTGGCGTGTTTCAGCAGAGGCTTGCGGTGAGAGCTCTCCAAACTCTCCCGAAGCATCGCCGCAAACGCATTCGGCACCGGCTGGGCCTCCATCCCAAGGCCTGGCGGAGGACTAATCGGGCTAGCCTCCTCGGAGCATTCCAGCCCCGGCGGTGCCCGGAAGTTCGGGGTCGTGTCCACGGTCAAGGCTGGAATGACACTAGGCAAGGATGTCGTCAAGGGCCGCGCATGCACGAACGGACCGACACTTGAGCCGATGGAGACCTTCTTGGGCTCTGCAGTCTCGCGCCCGACCTTCCCCTTTTTCTGAAGGCGTCGGAGCTCAGACTTCCCGTGAGCGAAGGTGCATGCCTCGCCATTCTTGCACGTGCCCTTGCGTGCAAACTGGAAGCAAAGCTGCGTCGATACCAAGTCCGGCTGATCCCTCAACTCTGACTCAGTATGAGCAAAGTTGCAGTCAGCACCAAGGTGGCACCGATTCACCTTC